CTGAGTAGCTGGGATTACAGGCACATACCACCATGCCCAGCTAATTTTTTGTATTTTTCGTAGAGACGGGGTTTCACCATGTTGACAAGGATGGTCTCGATCTCTTGACCTCGTGATCCACCCGCCTCAGCCTCCTGAGTAGCTGGGATTACAGGCGTGAGCCACCGCGCCCAGCCCTGAGTCTACTTTTGAATATATTTTTTAGAAGTGAAATTCAGATAAATCAATAGAAAAAAAATGCCATCTTGCTGAGACTAGCAAGTTTAATACTTTCCAGCTGTTCCAAATGCCTCCTTCTAGCAGGATGTTCATTGGAAATAACCCCCAAAAATGTTTCATGTAAATTGTGAGCCATGATTTTGAATACTGGATTAAATCTCTTAAAAAGGATTTACATAAACTGACTTAATTATTTTCTGTTACAGATCAAGGGTGCTTTGAATTTTTACCTTCACAAAATAGAATGAAATATTTTAAATTTGATAGAAGTTTCAGATACACTGGTTATAGAGCTCATTGAAGGATATAGTCACAGCAATATTTTTTGTTGGATTGAAATATTTTTTTATTTCATAGAAGTTATTTGAAAACATTTTTTCCAAATTATAGAGATGCTATTAAAATTGAGTAGCAAAGTCATATAAAAGAGTTGCAGTTTAGGTTTCAATGGTATTTAGTGAGTGTTACTATAATTAAATATTATTTTTACATTTGAGCATGTGAAGCCTCAAAATCAGTTCTTCTCAACTGTGGTTAAACATCAACATCCCAAGGGGAATGTAATAAAATGTCAGTTCTCATGTAGTACACCAGAGGTTCTGTTTCAATTGTTTTGATGTGTGGCCTAGACTTTTGTGGGTTTTTTTAAAGCTCTCAGGGTGATTTTAATATTGATCGAGTGTGTGACCCATTGCTCTAAATGCTACAGGTGAGCATTTGACTACTTGAATGGATATCTTTCTTCTTGAAGCTCACATTGCTTGTAAGGCCCATCTCTAACCAGAGCTGGGAATTTCCCACAGTCTGATTTCAACAAATTGCATGGTTTAGACTGAGATCAGTAAAGGTGTTTTGCTGATAGGAATCAGAACTGTATCCAGAGCGAGGTGTGAGTGGATCAGTCAGCGATCATGAGAAATGGTCTTAGCAGTTAGGCTCCTTTCTGTGTTCATAGTGTCATGGTGTTCTCCTCATATTTCTCCAGCACTTCAGCAGTCTTTCTTCTTAGTAGGATTTCTCTATTTCTAATTCATAACACCCACCTCTCCAAACACACACACACACACACACACACACACACACACAAACACACACCCCATAGCCTCTTTCATCTTTAAAAATATTATTCATTTCAAACTTATTTCAGTAACAAGATTTGAAGTCTGTCTTGGGTTTGAAATCTATTTGGGGATGTACTTATTTATTGTTTGATAATCCAGAGTTTTTTTTTTTAAGAACATTAAAATCAAATGTGGTAAAGATGTTTAATATTAAGGAATCTAAACCTGTAACCCATTACATTGACATATCTTAAAGGAGAAAACATACAGAATTGTTTCCATAGATGACAAAACATTTGATTTTTCTAGGACATCTGTACTCTATCATTTTTTAAGCATGGATGCAATACCTTTATGTAATCTGTCATTCATAATCTGGCTTAGTCAAATGACCCAATAATGTCCTCGATAGCACTTTCCTCTCTTTACGGGATCCAGTCTATGGAAAATGGTAAGTTTACATCTCTCTTCAGTCTTCTTTATTCTGGACCATTTCCACAGACTTTGGCTTTAGAGCATTGAAACTCGTGAAGAAAATTGTCACCATTTTATTAAAAAGAAAAGTGTACTTATTTTGGATTTGTCTGATGCCTCCCCATGATTAGATTCATAATACACATTCTTAGGTAAAACACTAGAGATATGGTTTTGTGTTCTTGAAATGTTCCATTTGGAAGCACATGATGTCCATCTGCTCATATTGGTGATGTCAGTTTTGATGAGCTGGTCAAGGTGTTGTCTGGTGTCTCAGCTGTGTTATTTTTCACTTACTCTATTCACAAAAGTTCATTTGATGAGGAAACACTTTAAAACCATACATGTATCACATTCCTCACTAAAATTACCCTAGATTTATCATCCGTTGATGACAATCACCTAACGCAGTATTGACAATGATGATTAGAAAATGATGATTTATGAACTTTAACATTCTCTCCGAATCGACTAGTTGGCACTCAGCGTTCCATCACAAACAGGAATTAGCTCTCATTTACCAGTTATTTGATATTTCATTTACTTAGTGATTTATTATCATCTAGAAGCACAATTCTTATTTCAGTGATTTGTTATTCATTTCTTTACATAATTATTCTGGTGCACAGAGTTTTTCAGATTAGGTATTAGAGCTCATCAGGCTAGCTTTTGTGTTATTATGACATGCCTCCCTTGTTTATTTGTTTTGTTTTTGCAATTCTTTAATTGTTGGCATAATAACATATTCCAGGGTCATACTGGACTTTCACTGCGCCTTTGAAATCAGCCACTTATCCAAAGAGCCCTGATTCCTGTTAGTGAAAATGGTATTTGAATAAAAATTGTGAGCACTAGGCATGCTTATTTCCACTGAAGTGTATTCGCTTCTTGGGCCTTTCTGCAAACAGGCTCGTGTCAAAAAGGTAGATTGAAGCACAGTACAATTTTTATTTTATCTGAGCAAACAATGATTCATGAATCAGGCAGCTCCAAATCAGAAGTGGTTCAGGAGCGTCACTGAGGGAATGTGAGTGGGAGGCTTTTATAGGATGAACAGAAAAAGAAAGCAAAGAAAAACGGTTGATTGGTTAACGTTATACAGTTGCCTTATTTGATCTATCCTGTTGGAAAGGCCCTAGTTATATAATTATAAGTTTGTTGGTTGCATCTGACTGGTAGAGCTTAAGTTCTGTTTTTCTTCAATGTGGACATTTACAAGAAGTAAGATAAGTTTCACTTATTTTTACATATTAGACAAGGTTAGGATCAATTATGAGACCTTACTGGCTTAGTCTGCTCAGGGAATTTTTAGGTCTTATTTCCATTTTTATTTTTTTGACACTAGTAAATATATGCCTGTGCATATATACACAAATACTTATGCACATACCAGCACAGATATGCATGAACACATACACAAACATGCATGTTTTAGAAATCATGGATTTACATCAATACATCTAATTTCAGTCCATCCTTAGAGAATCACTTGTTGTTTTCTCCATTCTATATTTACATGTTCCATTTTCTCAGTGAGAACCCTGGCTCCCAACATCACCAACATATATACTTATTTGCTCAATTCTATACTGCATTTCTAGTTACTTTTTATAAGTGCTGCAGACACACCACTAGACAAAGCAAATCTACCAAAAGAGATCAGGATTTGCAGTCCACCCCTCTCCACTCCCCAACTCTCACTGTGCCTTAGTCATGCCCAAGATTGGGGTATGTAGTCAAATGCTGTGTTTGTAAGTTATCAGATTTCTTTTATTTTCTTCTCTTTCAGTGTGGTGATGGTACTCATTTGAAATACAATTTAGCTTATTTATTTCAGATCACTTTCAATTTTAGGTTTTATAATCCCTTCCCATCTGTATTAATACCTTTTATAAGATATAGAACACTAACATACTTCTAAAAGTCAAAACTATGCAGAAAAGCATACTGAGAGGATCCTCACTCTCTTCATCAAATCTTGCACCATGCTTACCCTCATCTTTCAGATAACCAACTTTCTTGCTTTCTGACCTCTTTGTGCATGTGTTTCTTTTTGTGTAAAAGTAAATAGACATATTTGTGTGTTATCGTTTTTCATTTTTTTTCTGCAAAAATAGTCGTGCATTCCAAATGTTCTTTTGTTCTCTGCTTTTACCACACAACATAATCTCCTGCAATTCACTTCAAATCAGTTCATAGAAATCCTTCTTGTTATTTTTTCAAAAGCATAGGACTGGATTCTATGTATGCAATGTAATTTATACAATCTACCCCTTATGTTTGATCATTTAGGCAGGTGCCAATATTTTGGATTGTAAATAATACTGCACAGAATGATCTGTTGTGAGCCTATTTTTATATTTTTGGAGGTGTATATTCAAGGCATTACTAGAAATGCAATTGGCCAAAAGGTACATTTATATTCAATGTTACATTTAATCTTTTCCATCTAATTTATTCTCAAATAAATATCTAAGCCTTTCACGTTTACTTGGCAATCTCATTCTCACCTGTCTTATGTTAGTAATCACTTCCACCATCCGAGTTCAGGACCACATCCTCCAAATTGCAATAGCCTATGGAGTCTTTCTACTGATCTTTCCTTTCATATCACAATGTGGTTAAGTAGCTTGGAGCAGAAGGCGAAAAGGAGTTAAATGGATTGGGGAATGGGACTGAAGGGCAGGATGAGACAGAGCTGGGGACCAAGGTGTTCCAGAAGCTAACTTTGTGGGAAGCCTAGAAGGGTGAGGTCCAATGTGCAGAGCAGGATGAGGCCCTGGCACCATTGTACAGGGATGCGAGCTGGTGTATATGTCTCGTCGGTCATCCTAGAAAGTGTCAGGTCTGTTGGGCACTGTGAAGAATCAGAGCTAAAATACTCTAGTGTAAGGCAGAAGACCAATCCCAGAGGCTGAGTTAGCTGGCAACCGAAAGAGAAGCTGTGTGTCACAGCATGAGCACAGGAGTCTGGAGCTTTTGCCTAGGCACCCATATGCCATGTCTTGGAGGCTCAGTTGTGAATTCTGCTTGATGGGTGAGACAGGAAGTCTCAGAGTTGTTGTAAACTTCCCACATCAGCCAGGAATGGTTTAGCTGCCTGTGGGGACTTCAGTGAGGAGTCGTAGATTTCAGAGGCAGAGGCTGTTGCTTCCCATCTTTTCTGAAAAAACTTCCCCACACACAGCCCTAACCAAGTGAGTTTCTGCTCTTATGTTATAGATGAGAGACCCATATTATATGTGGCTACACATAGAACATTATATGGATTTATATTTGTATTTATAAAGCAAAACATATGACACAAAGGCTTTTGCAATAGACTTGTGGCAAATGCTATACAAAATGTATTGATAAGGTATCTCTTTTTTCTGCTCTGTGATTTACTTAACTTTAAGCATCTCATTATTTTCTATAGCACCTAGTTCCTTGCCAATAACATAGATAGATAACAAGAAAGCTTAATGGTTGGATATGTGGGTGGCTGGGAGACAGAATGAATAAATGTGAAAATGAAAAAGAAGGATGATAATTAGATAACAAAATCTATATGAAGTAATAGCATAAATTATAGCTTAGATTTCAAATTACTTTTATGAATTGAGATAGCTTTTAGAAAAAAAATAGAAGAAAATTAAGTTTAATAACAGAAAAATTCTCATGAGTATTTGCAAAGTAGAAAAATAAACTCAAGTTCTGCAAAATCACCATTTATATGTAACTGTGAGAGAAAAAATTTATAGATTATAGTGAATTGCAAGTGTTCTGGGTAACAGAATCATGCAGAAGATATGAAAACAAGGATATTGTCAGCATCCATAAATATATTTCCTGGAGAAAATGTTTGGAAATATGACTAATATACTCTGTATCTTAATGAGATCAGAGGAAGAACCCTGAATCTTCTCAAGTCCTGTGTACTAGGTTCAGCAGTGCTTCTAGAAACATGACTGGGGACATACTTGGTCCTGGCAGCAGCTCTATGAAGCAGAGATTATTTGCTTATAAGGAATCTGGGAATTAGAAATGAAAGCAGTGCCCTTAAAAATGCATAGCTCATGAGGATTAAAACTCTGAGGCCAGGTGTGGTGGCTCACGCCTGTAATCCCAGCACTTTGGGAGGCTGAGGCAAGCAGATCGCAAGGTCAGAAGTTTGAGATCAGCCTGACCAACATGGTGAAACTCCGTATCTCTTGAAAATAATAAAATTAGCCTGGCGTGGTGGTGTGCACCTGTAATTCCAGCTACTCGGGAGGCTGAGGCAGGAGAATGACTTGAACCTAGGAGGTGGAGGTTGCAGTGAGCTGAGATCACATCACTGCACTTTAGTCTGGGTGACAGAGTGAGATTCCATCTCAAAAAGTAAAAAAAAAAAAAAAAAAAAGGAAAAAGAAACAGACTCTGAATTCAGCTACAGCTCTACCTTAGTCACAAGTTCATGCTCTTTCTAATACATCACATATAGATTTGCCAATATCTAGTAATTCAAACTAAATTGTCAACAGCATCTTTGGTTCCTCCCCATCCTTCACCCTGTACACTCAGTCAGTCACCAAATGCCTTCTACTCTTTCTCCCAAAATATTCCCAAATGTATTTGTTTCTTTATAAACTCATCACTTCATGTGTCTAGCCACTGACTTCATTCCTGCAGACAAATCTAACAGCCTTTTAACTTATTTCCTTGTATCCACTTTTGCTGCATTTCAGTTCATTCTCCATATGACAGCCAGAGTAATCTGGTAAAAAGTCATACCTGATCACTGGACTCCATTGCTTCTGTGTCTTCCAATTATTGTTGGATTAAAGCTGGAAATCTTTAACATGACCTGTAAGACTTCCATGAACTGCACCTCGAGTTGCTTTCTTCATTTCATGCCACTTTTCATGCTGTTCTGTATACCTCAATCCCATGTGATGTTTTCCCTTTACCTCCTCTTTTCTCGCTGCGCCTGTCTATTGTCTAGTAGTGGACGTGAGCCCCTTTGCCATCTCACTTCTCTTAGCTATGCTTTTTCACTTGGCTTTCAGTTCTCAGCTACTTCCTCAGGGACTCTGACTTTGACCTCCTGGTCTCAGTTAAATCCCCTTGCTATGTGCTTCTGCAATACTTTGCACTTCTGTATTTATTTTATCACATTGGTTCTTACTCACATAAAACTCTGAGAGGAAGGTTATGGCTGATGTCATCCCTGTCGGATTTTCAGAGTCCAGGGTCATTTCTCGTGGTGATCAAGTCTTGGTTGAGACATGTTGATGGCTGTGATGAACATTAAAACTCAAAATATATACATGAAAAAGAAAGTTTCTTAAGTGGGCATTCTATCTCTCAATATTATTTGGATGCAATATTAATATTGGTGAAATTAATTATGGGGGATGTGGTAGAATCTTCAGATTTGGATGACTATGTGGCTTGTAGTAGACCAGATGACTACAGTACCTTTGTAATTCTGAGTTCCCCTGAGAATCTGGTAAGGTCCCAGGAATCCATGCCTTAATCCACTCTGGTCCCATTATTATAAGGACATGTGTATCAGTACAAGTTAATGCTGAGGAGGGGAAATTATCAGGGGCATATATGATTTTTACTTATGCATTTGACAATAAATTATTTCCAAAAATATTTATTACATAAATAGTAAGTTCAAACATTGTGCAAAGCATTGAATAAATACTGGCGAGGAAGATAAGCAAGGTTTCTTCCCTTACAAAGCTTAGATTTTTCTGCTTTATTTCACATCAGACCCAGGTGTGATCAGAAGACATTTGTGCATTGGTTGGATGGCTATGTGTAAAGTAGCTCTGAACTAGAAGCAGTCAAATTTACCTTCAATAAATGATTAGAGGTCCATAATAATAGCTGTGTGATATAAAATACAACTGCCATGCAAAAATAACCTCAAGAAAAAATAGCATGCGCTTTACCTTATCATACACACAGAAATACCTAATCGAAATATTAGAGATGGCATAAAAATTCATTAATTTTATATGCATATAACAATCTTTTTTGTTTTAATGATTTAGGTACATGTCACTGTGGCAGGTGTAAGTGTGATAATTCAGATGGAAGTGGACTTGTGTATGGTAAATTTTGCGAGTGTGATGATAGAGAATGCATAGATGATGAAACGGAAGAAATATGTGGAGGTATGTATATCGACTCTAGAAATTAATAAAAGTACCTGGTTTTTCACCTATTTCATTATTCTTCTATTTATACATCAATTTCTGTGCTAGATGTACTAATTCAATTTAAACCTATGTTTATCTGGAAAATATTTCACATAAGGAAGGTGAGACTGTGGCCTTAAGGGTAGACTAGTACTATTTAAATGCAAAGCCAAATTGTCCCCAGAGGAGAGCTGTGTCATTCTGGCAAGAGGCCAACTGCATAGCTCTGAAGTAGTCCTAGTGGAATACCATTTCCTCTGCTCACCTTAGCCACTTTTATTCTCCTTTCTCCTTTTCTCTTAAGTGTATATTTTCATTTCTTTCTTTTTCCCTTTCTAAAACATGAACAATAGTCTCATGTCCTGCTGGGGACATTGAAGGTCCACAGGATTATTAGCCTAGAGTTTACCTCCCCATCTCTGTCCCTACATATTTAGATAACATTTTCCTTTTCTAGTATCACCTTTACTCCATTCATTTTTCTGTTGTACCAGTTCTTGCATATTTGCTGGTGACAAATTCTGCAATAATTGCTTTACATTCATTATATTTTGCCTCATAATATCACTCTAGGATAAGAATTACATTTATCCACATAGACAGATTTGGAACCTGGGACTTGGATAAATTAGGTAATGAAGCCAGGTTCAGTTCACCAGTGATGGTAGAATTTAGGCTCATGTCTATGTGACACCAAAGTCTGTGTTTCTAACGCTTCACCTCTCACGACTGCATCCGTGCCTTGGAGCTCAGAGCTCCACAAGAGGATTCTCTCCTCAACATTTGCAGTTTTCATCTCTTCTGCTCGCCAACCTCCAAGCCTGTGCCTGGAGTTTCCATTTGCAACCTTGACTGGCATAGGAAAAGGAAAGTAGAAAGTAGTGAGAATCAATCGGTTTAGGTAAATTTTTCTTTGCTATGATCAAACTTATATTTCACTCCTGTCTGATGGCATTCCAGTTGATGGAATACTGCTCTGCATGCAGAAATGGTAGTTTTGGAAGTATTGTTTTCCTGGAAGAATTAGAGCCCAGTGGGGCCAGGTGGAACCAGAGACCCCTGAGAAAGTGTGGCTAGCATATGGCAAGCTTTTTCCTTTGTTTACATTTCTGTAGCTTCAATTCCTCTGAGTCATCCAAATATATTTATTTTAGGCCTGGTTGGCCCTTCCTTCTTGGTCTCCTGGCTGCACAACTCACCTGGATAGAACAAACACCGAAATCTTATTTTCATTTTTCCAAGCAATGACCTAAGCTAGATGCTGCTCAGACAATTCTCTCCTAAAGGACTCAGTCCAAAAATAATTAGATCAGTTAGACAAATTCATCCACAAATATTATGTATGTCCTCTAGATGTTTAGTTTCCAATTATTACAGATAAAGGAAAAAAAGGAAGGAAACATACTTTAGGGCCAGTCTGTTGTTTAGACACCACCAAAGCAGAGTCTATTTGCATGTATAAATAGAAAAATGTAACTTGAAACAACACAACAGAAACTGTTTAACTTTCAACCTTTCTAGCTGTTATTTCCATTTGTTTGAGGCTTAAGCAATTTCATGGTGCAAAGTCTCTGACCAAGGACACCAGCACTCCAGTAAACACCCTCTGGGGGTGACATTGCCTGGGATTGTAAATCTTTCCATGTGTCATTCACATGAAACAAATCTGCTGAGAGATGGTTCTACAGTTCATCAGTGAAGCAGGACAAATAGAGATTTTCTTGCTCTATCAGTTTGCACAAAGCAAAGAATTATGTTTATTATCTGGAATGTGTATTGTCCTAAAGCACACATTTTAATCTCAATTATTCAGATGTGTCTTGTTCAATATTTTTGTTTGAGTTATATGGATATCTGTTTAATTTTCCATATCTGCATACAGGTATATTGTTACATAATTTTTGCTTCCTTATTGACCTCTAACTCAAAAGTTTCTTAGTAAAACCCTAATTCAATACTAAATTGTATAAATATTTAAAGAATTTGGATGTGAGAAATATAGATTTTTGATCATTTGTTAATATAGTAATCCTTACATATGTAGCACCTTCTGTATAAATTTTCTGAAATTACAGAGAAAATAAATCCTGTAATCTAAAAAGGTAATTGAGTCTTACAAACATGACTCCTAAAGAAAGCAATCAGTATACATTCTTGCTTTTTTGTCAGTGTAATCATTGAGTTCTTGAGGCCTGTGATATGTCACTAGGATATGATTTAATTCTGTGTGCAAGTGGGCACCATTTTTAACTTCATCAATAAAATATATAGATTAGATTACTAATTAAATCACTTGGCAGCTTTTGTATTTGCTTAAGTAAACAAATTTAAAATTTAAATTCATTGTGGAAATGGTCATTGATTGTTAGGTTAAGAAGTGATTTTCTTTGAATATTCCAATTATAACTCATTTAGACAAAATCATGGCACTGGGTTCCTGTCTCTTTCGCTCTGTCTCATTATAGCACTCTTTCTGTTCATTGTTCATCTCTGTCTCTGTCTCTTGGAGGTATGCCTTCTTGATGGAAGTCTCATCTCCTGGACATGAATAGCATAGGAGACCAGAATATTTTGTTGTATTTCCTGCTTCTTATGTGAGTTTTACAGGTCCTAATAATGTTCTTGCCATTGGCCAGAGATACCATAGTGTTAGAATGATAAATATGCTTTGAAGATAATGAAAAGTAGCCTCATAATCAGTTTCGCATACTCTTTTGGGGATTTTGGCTTTAAGAGAAGAGAGATGGAAAGAACAAAAGACTTTAGCCATAGACTGATAAAACACAAACTCCTGTAACACAGAGAGAATAGACTAAAAACAAAACAAGAACAAGGACATGCATTTATGCTTAGGTGATATAACTACAAAGATGATATTTTGGGATAAATACCATCTTTGGGGAATTTGCAGAAGGATTGCTAGACATGGATAAGGAAAGCATGGATGTGACAATTTACTACAGATGGCTTGGAGGCAAGTGCAGATGAACAGGTAACAGGTTACACAGAGGTGGGGGCTGAAAGGAGGGCGTCTGGACACAAAATGATGAGTGTCCTTACCTGTCATTTGTATCCTCTTGACAAGTAGAATGGGAATTTGATTGTGAAGCCAACGGTCCATGGTGTTTTATTTGTCTAAATAATGATTAAACATGGACTAGGCTGAAAACCTGTCTCTTTCACATGGTGGAACACAATAGCTTGTGAGACACAGTTGAGAGTTGAGGGAAAAGATGAAATATTTCTTCTGCTTTAAAGAGTTGTTTGACCATTCATAACGTGTATCTCAGTAAATATGCACCACTGGTTTCTCAATAGTTGATTTCAAATGAAATGTTTTAATAACAAATTCAAGAAATGTCCTTAGAGTGAATGCTCACATCTATTTGGGTTCAATGCATGCATTTGAGATGAAAAAGTAATAGACTCTCATGGTCATTCATGTCATTTCTTTAAAAATACTTTTAATCAGCTCCCTGTCCAGGCCAAGTTAAAGGGCACTTTGCTCTTTTTGTATAATTAAGCAGGTATAAGCACAACCATGATGTGTTTGGAGAAAGCTGTATAATTTGATTATTTTAGGCAAGGAATGTAGAGCTTTGACATTATTTAAGAAGGCAAAAATGATCACAAAGAGATAGAAAGTTAATTCTGCTTGTGAAAGTTGCTTTTTTCCTCACTGTATAAAATTCATTTTGGGTAAAGGCCATGGGAAGTGTTACTGTGGAAACTGCTACTGCAAGGCTGGTTGGCATGGAGATAAATGTGAATTCCAGTGCGATATCACCCCCTGGGAAAGCAAGCGAAGATGCACATCTCCAGATGGCAAAATCTGCAGTAACAGAGGTGTGTCATTCATACATGTTACCACATAATGGGAAGGCAAACAAAGCTTTTAATTGTTAACACTTCTTTTCTCTGTATTTCCTCTAGTGGGGAGGAAGTTATCTTCTAATCATTTACTTTGATATAAATCAACATTTACTATACCAACAGTCTTTTCTGTCTTGTATTTTATTGAGTAGAGAAGAGAAAGATAAGAAACTTGCTGTCATTCTTTAAGCTTCACTGAACAAACAGTTAACTTAGGGACTGTAATTTCTTTGGCGGCCCTCCAGAAATAGCACAGTACAGATAAAAGGCAATTCTTGTAGATACTTCTGTTAAATGTCTCTTGACTAACAGAACCAACTACAGCATGAGCATCTAATTATCCAGAGAGCATTCAGAAAACCCTCTTGTCTTAATTATGAGTAAATGGAAGGCTTGGTTGAAATGCAGAATTGATATGGACTAATTTAACTTCTGTATGCAATAATAAAAATGTGATATTGAACATAATAGTTATGGAAAGTATATATCCAATAGCCATATGAAATGTAGACCAACTTTACAAAGGAGTTTAACAAAATACATTAATATTGCTAAACTGTAACTTAAAGGTAGTTAAGTAACTGTTGATATCAAATCAAACAAATTAAACACAGTTTTAAAATTCCTTGAAGATGCTTAATTTTCCCTTTGCTGTAGTGATAAAGAGAGCCATGCTAAACTTTTTATCGCCTATTTGATGAAATTAAAAAGTGAATATACTTCTTCTTTAAAACTATAAAAATCTAACCATAGCATACCATCTTTTAGAAATTGACATGGAGAAATAAAAGGTGCCACATTTCTTTACATAGAGAAAATAAATTAAAAAATACAGGAACTTGGAGCAAAGTCATAAAGTCCTCTCTTTATAGGGACTAAATCTTACTATATATCATTCTAATTTACCTTATGCTTTCTTTTCATATACAAGGATGTGTTTTCTGCATAAGTCCTTTTTATGCAGTAGAATTCACACTCAACTTTTGTTAAGTATATGAAGCTTGAACTGTGGTACTGTGGAAAATGACTATTCAGCTGTCAATGGGAGAGAGGTGGAAAATGGAATTGGTTGGGCTGTGGATTAAATCAGGTTCTGCAGCAGAGTTATGTTGGCTGTTGGAGACGCGTCCTTCAGAAACACACTCTAAACCTCCTGCCTCCCACTTCCCTGTACTTGGAGCATTCTGACCTGGAGATCTGGCAGAGGCAGAATGAGAAGCGGCCTGCCTAAGTGAGGCTCTCAGCTTCTGAGAATCAGGGATACGTGAAGACAGGGCAGAAGTGGGCACTGAGATGAGTCATTTTTTTTTTTTTTCTTAAAAGGTGATACTCCTGTCTAACCTGAAAGCGTTTCTGTATCATTGCCTCCCTAGGTAACAGAAAGACGCTGGTCCCCACATATACCTATCTTGCCTTCCTTTATCCCCACCTTCAAGGGCCAAAAAACCAATGTTGCAGACACAACTGTTAATAGAACAAATGTCATCCATTGCCCACCTGGTTACTCAGTTTCATATTGGACCCCTTTACGCATGGCTGGAGAAGCTGCTGCTTTGTCACATCTGCATGGCTCCTAGTCCCTGTTCCTCCTGACCAAACCCATTTGTCCTATTATGAAAGCAATGCATATCCATTTTCAAAAATCTAGACACTAAAGTAGAGTACACAGAAAAATAAGAAAATGGCCCATAAGCCTAACATCCAAGTATAACCTCCTTTTACATTTTGGTACATGAGCATTCAGTCTGTATTTATTTATTAAAATTCACTTGTGTGGCTGCCCTATCCCTGTATTTCCTTCTTACTAAAGAAAAAAATTGAATCATACTCTACATGCTGATTTGTAATTTTACACTTTTATTTCATGATATATGTTGCTTATTTTTCCATGTTTATGGAGCAAAAACCTAATTATTACTTAGTGATTGCATTGTAGTCATGATATGTGTGTACCATTACTGCACTCATTCTCCATTGATCAATATTTTGGTCACTAGTAGTTTTTTAAAAACATCAATACAACTATATTTTATATTTCTGAACACATACTTATGTGTACTTTTTCTTTCTGTTGGGTACATTAATTAAAGTGAGCTAAAAAGCTAAATAATAACACTGATATAAAAAGTACCCCATCTCTACTAAAAAATACAAAAATTACCTGAGCGTGGTGGTGCACGCCTATAGTCCCAGCCACATGGGAGGCTGAGGCAGGAGAATTGCTTGAACCCGGGAGGCAGAAGTTGCAGTGAGCCGAGATCGCGCCACTGCACTCCAGCCTGGCAGCAGAGCGAGATCCTGTCTCAAAAAAAAAAAAAAAAAAAATGTGTATATTGTAAAATCACTACCAAGAAAGTTGTACCATTTCATATTCCACTTCAGAGCAAGAAAATGTCCATTGTCCTACACATTTACCAAGTCTGGATTCAAGCAATATTTTTCACCTCTGACTATCTGACATACAAAATAATTGCCAGTCACAATTGTTTTGAAGATCTCCCACTGCTACCTGCCTAGGAGTAGTCAACTGAGTGATAAACATTTTTCATGTTTATCATAATTTCTGTATGAAATTTCCTATTGTTCTTTGCTTTTGTCTATTTCAGATTGGGAATATTAATTCTTTATGTATTGAATCCTAAGACTTATTTATATGTTTTTGAAAGTATTCTTTGTCTTTTAAAATTATTTTTACATGCTAAAAATAATTTATTGAATTATTGTGTGAATACCAAATAAGTCTACATAATCATGCAGCTCTTTGAATTTTTACTAACAACACAGCCAGGTAAACAATTCTCAGATCAAGAAACAAACAGATTAACTACTTGTTTCACCTTTATCAGTCTTTTTTTTTTTATATAGTGTTTTGTTTCCAACCAAACTTTTCAACTTTTGTGGAAGTTTTCAATTTCCTTTTTTAGTAATTGTGCTTTGGCAGTTTTGAACAAAAAGTTTAATTTTATTCTGTGGTTTTGTTTTGTACATTTAAATCTTTAATCCAACTGATACTTATTTTGATGTAAGAGGTAAGAAAAAGATTTAACTTTATGTTTCTATCAAATGATTAGCTGATTGCCCTAAAGACAGTTGCCGATTATCCACACAAAGTAAATATGATTTACAGTTGGGCATTTCCCTCTGCAAATCTGCAAATGACCAAGTTTATATCTCTCAATCTGACCTCCTCTGTAATCTGGGCTCGTCTGATCTAGCAAACCTTACTTCTTAGTCTTTTTTTAACATGCACTTCAGGGGCCCGATGCCCATCCCCACCCTTCTTTGCTTAGTCTTGTTTCCTTGACTTTACCTTAGTTCTGCCTCCAATGTCTCCTAGAACATTTCGTCTAATCCCTATATACCCAGTCCATCCACTGCTAATTACTCCAACCCTCACTGATCCTCTCCTCCAAATTCTTACAGCATTCATGTCTTAGTTTACAAAATTTTAGCACACTGTTTTTAGTGTTTGCTCATTTTTCTTTCTAATTAGGTTTCCTTTTGCCAAATAGATTGCAAGCTTCTTGAGGGAAAGGATTGTAACTTGTATAAATTGTTTTAGTATTATCTTTGAAGGAAACTAACACAACGCTAATGACACATTCCACCAACTCACATATTTATAGACACATATAATAACTTGTTTTACTTATTAAGGAATCTCTACTATCAATATCAGATGGTGTTTTTCCTTTTTAGAATATTTTTATCTGAATATATGTGTTTTTCAAGTACAAAGTAAGCAACAGAAAATGATAAACAATATGTGAAATGCTTTCTTTCATGATTTTTCTTGACTGGATTCTTTTAATTCTCCTTCCCACCCAGGGACTTGTGTGTGTGGTGAATGTTCCTGCCACGATGTTGATCCTACTGGGGACTGGGGAGATATTCACGGGGACACCTGTGAGTGTGATGAAAGGGACTGTAGAGCTGTCTATGACCGATATTCTGATGACTTCTGTTCAGGTAAGGGCTGTTTCAATCCCTATTTTTCTGGAGGGGGAGGTGGGGATTGTTAATGGATAAAAGAAAAGCAATTAGAAAGAATAAATAGGGCCTACCATTTGATAGCACGGTAGGGTAACTATAATCAATAACTTAATTGTGCATTTTAAAATATGTAAAGAGTATAACTGGATTGTTTGTAACACAAAGGATAAATGCTTTGTGTTACAAAGAAACGGGGTGGAAACCCCATTCTCCATGATGTGCTTATTTCACATTGCATGCCTGTATCAAAACATCTCATGTACCCCATAAATACATGGATCTGCTGTATACCCACAAATTTTAAAAAGTAAAGATTAAAAAATAAAAAAATACGTATTTCCCCGTTTTCAAGATTTCTAATTCTCACAGGCACTGTAAAAGAAACTGAATGTGCATTTTAAAGTATGTTATATTTGCAGTGCTCCTACTAGTAACTTGGAAAACCTCCAGAGAATTCACAAAGTTGGCAAAGACTAGAGACAAGAGTGCACCCACTCTGTTAAAATTGGTGTAATTCCTTACCCAGGAGAGCCATTTGCTCTAGAGAGCAACTCAGCTCAACTCAGACTACAAGACTAGCAGAGCTGTTGACAATGAACAGTTGCCATTAGGACAACTATAGTAATCTATTACAAAACAGGGTAATACAGTGTGCAGTGGTAGTTTGTGCATTAATTCTTTGATAGGGTTTATACTAAATTTATTCTGCAGTATAGTCTATAATTGAATGTCAATTAGTAGATTCAAAAATTTTTGACTGTGCTGGGCGTGGTGGCTCACACCTGTAATCCCAGCACTTTTGGAGGTCAAGGCAGGTGGATCACAAGGTGAGGAGTTCGAGACCAGCCTGACTAGCATGGTGAAACCCTGTCTCTACTAAAAATACAAAAATTAGCCAGGCATGGTGGTGTGCTCCTATAATCCCAGCTACTCAGGAGGCTGAGGCAGGAGAATCACTTAAACCTGGGAGGCAGAGGTTGCAGTGAGCAGAGATTGTGCCATTGCACTGCAGCCTGGGCGACAGAGCAAGATTCTGTCTCAAAAATTAATAAAAAATAAATAATTAATAAATAAATTTGACTGTAAACACTATGGAGCAGATACTGCCTGTTAGGGACTAAGTGACATCTGGGCTCCTGGTTTTACCCAGTGAAGGAGACAACCATGATATTTGACTTCATGGAGTTTGCAATCTAAATGCAATGCATAAGTTGCATGATGTAATAGGACAAAGAAAAAGAAAGCAGTGAGAAATCTGTCTGAAAGGTATCATTTAGCAAAAATGGAGTTATGAATTTTCAGTCCAGTTCTATTTGATAATCCATAAGGTAGAGACACACACATATACATCTTGTTAAGCTTGACTGCCTGATTGGTGCATGCAGATGGATAGAAACTCCTCTGGTCTCCTGAAAGTTTGCCAGCAAAGGGAGATAAAAGAGCTGCCCCATTTAATTATGACTGTGCAACTTTTCAAAGGCTTCTGCAGACTGACTGGGGAAAGCCTGCTGCTAAAAATTCCCATTGCAGAAGGATTTCCCTCTTCTGATAATCTCTTGTGCTCCAGAGGATTTCCCAAACATTTTGTGAACACTGTTCTCTTGAGGTTATTTTTTTTATTATTCATTATACATGCTCATGTTCTTCATTATCATCATTACCAATACAGTGGTGCATGATCTCAGCTCACTGCCACCTCCGCCTCCCAGGGTCAAGTGTTTCTCCTACCTCAGCCTCCTGCGTAGCTGGGATTATAGGCACATGCCACCGTCCCTGGCTAATTTTTGTGTTTTTAGTATAGATGGGGTTTTACCATGCTGGCCAGGCTGATCTCGAACTCCTGACCTCATGATCTGTCTGACTTGGCCTCCCAAAGTGCTAAGATTACAGGCATGAGCCACTGTGCCTGACCTGTGCGTGGGTTTGATTCTAAAAAATAGGCTTGCAGGTAAAGAAAGATGAGAAGGCCATTCCTAACAGAAGGAACAGAGGGATGGAATCTGTGCATGGAACCAGACTCTGTTTGAAATTACCAGAATGCACAAGGAAGGAAGGATTTGGTAAAAGGTAAAGTTGGTGGAGAAATGAGAACTTGAGGGCTTTTTACAGTCCTGCAGACCCAGGTTTTATTCTAAAGGCAATGAGGAGCTAATGATGATTTTAGGCAGTAGAGTGCTGTAGTCACCGGATTTCTAGTCTGAGTATCTGGGAAAATGTTGGTGCCATTTACTGAAATAGGGAATATGGAAGGTGGTTGTCAAGTTTGTTTCTAGACATTTCCAACATAGAAGACAAAGGGTAAGCCAAAGTTTATATTTTTCTCCAGCCTGTTGGATATGTGAGGCAGAGTCAGGGCTAAACCAAGAGAATTTCAAGTTGTAAGCATAGTGTTGGTAGTTAAAACTATGCTGGCATTTAGGAAATGCCATTTGACAGTGCCTTTTTTTTTGTACTTTAAGTTCTGGGGTACATGTGCAGCTCTTCCAGGATTGTTGCATAGGTATACACATGCCTTGGTGGTTTGCTGCATCCATCCCCCGTCACCTACATCAGGCATTTCTCCCAATGTTATCTTTCCTCAACCTTCCCACCCCCCGCTGTCCCTCCCCTAGCCCCCCAACCCCCAACAGACCCCAGTATGTGATGTTTCCCCTCTGTGTGCCCATGTGTTCTCGTTATTCAACACTCGCCTATGAGTGAGAACATTCAGTGTTTGGTTTTCTGTTCTTGTGTCAGTTTGTTAAGGGTGATGGTTTCCAGATTAATCCATATCCCTATGAAGGACATGAACTCATCCTTTTTTTGTGGCTGCATAGTATTCCATGGTGTATGTGTGCCACATTTTCTGTATCCAGTCTATCATTGATGGGCATTTGGGTTGGTTCCAGGTATTTGCTATTGTAAATAGTATTGCAATGATCACACATGTGCACATGTCATTATAATAGGACAATTTATAATCCTTTGGGTATATACCCAGTAATGGGATTGCTGAGTCAAATGGAATTTCTGTCTCTAGATCCTTGAGTAATTGCCACACTGTCTTCCACAATGGTTGAACTAATTTACACTCCTATCAATGTGTAACAATGTTCCTATTTCTCCATATCCTCTCCAGCATCTGTTGTCTCCAGATTTTTTGATGGTTGCCATTTTAACTGGTGTGACAATATCATTTTAAGGTTGCCTTTGAGGTAAATGTGAATTGACACAATTTAAAATAAGAAAATAAGGGAGATACATAAAAGGCTGTCTGTAAAAATTGTAAGTGTGTGACTTGCTGATATGGAGCCCTTTTTTTCCCACGGGTATTTGCTTTCTTGTGAAATCCATGATCTGATGTTGATCCTGATTTTGGACTCGGGTTGAAAAATTCAAACTAACTACATTATAGTGATAATTCAGAGTCCTGTGAGCCAGTCCATCTCACTGTGGGGGAGTGGGGCTGTGGGGTACAGATGGGTAATGACTCCTTAATTGACACTTCAACCCTTGTGTAACCTTCAATTCCTGCAGTGCATCATTTAGGCTCGGAGTGCTTACTCCAAGCTGAGCAGGTAAAGTGTCATGAAGGAGGCTGTCCTAGAATCTAATTTTCCTCTTCACCTATTCCCCTCCAATCCTTCTTCCCTGTTTTTCTTTTTCTCACAGTTTCCTTTCTTCTGTACCCTATGAGACTCCACACAGTGGGTATGGACAGGTAGGGGTGGGAAGAGGTGATGACACAATCGGCTGTGTTTTGAGCAAGAAGACATCAGTCTGTTATGGTGATTTTATGATTTGCTGGTTGAAGTGAATGGAACATGGCCAGCCCTCTGCAGCTTGGCTCCCACGCTTAGAATGAGGAATTGAGCCCAACTGGCTTCTCCAGGGCATCTTCTCCACGACCGTCCTGTGTCAGGAGCTCATGCAGGTGGTGCCCCAGGAGATGTAGCTGGGAGGCCGAGAGGCTGCAAAGGAGCATGTGCAGAGGCCCGAGCCCCCTCCAGTTCCCCACAGTCCACAGCTCAGCTGCGCACCCAGCTAGGGTCAGGCAGCCGAGGCTTCTGTGGAAACTCTGGTACAAATCTTCGAATCTCCTCTCTCAAGTGAGGTCGAGCCTGGGATCCAGGCGGGGCCCGTGCTCCTTCTGAGAGCGGCTTCTGGTCTTTTCCCTGGGTCCTTTTCCCTGCCCTCCTTTGTTTGCTTTTTTTTTTTTTTTTTTTTAACTTAAATGTTGGGTCAAGTTGACAACCAGTAAGATGATTTTTTTAAGGGGCTGGAAGAGCAGGAGCCTTCCTCTCTCCCCTTTCTTTCTCCCGCACACCATGTGCCAGGGACCAGATCACTGTCCCTGGGCAAGCAGAGCTACTGAGACTTGGAACCTCACCATGACCGAAGACCTGCACTGACGGCCGGACAGCCGGCCCCAGACACACGTGCTTAGCTTCTTTAGCAGAAGAGGAAATAGATTCAGAGAAATTCAGTAACTTGATAAAGTTCACACTGCCATTAAAGTCTCATCTGAAAACACATATAGCCTGACTACTCCTGTAACTTAATCTCCGGTGATACAAATACAATTCTCCAATTTTACTTTATTTTTTTCTGAGGAAGAACTGTCCTCTGGGTACTCAGATTCTTTTTTTTTTTTTAATAAAACTAAGATTCCCTGAACATCATTATGATCTAGAACAGACATCAATCTCTGGAGTATTTCATTATTTTTATAAAATCTGTAGAATTTTATATCCTGTATGGTATTATGCTTAGAGAATTATTAGTCTTTAAATTTTTCCTAATTACCAGTCAAAGTTGCAGTGTATGAAGGCTGCCATATAGTTGATTATTGAGTATGTTAATGCCTTTCTGTTATGAGACAGAAGTACCCCAATGACATCAATATTCTCTAGTCATTCATGCAAGTCTAGAATATAATAAGGCTCAGATGAAGTGAAATTTTGTTTTTAGCTCCTATTCTTGCCATCCTGAGAATG